GTCCTGGCCCCTGACAGACGTCCCCGCCCCCCGCAGGCGACGCGACCTCGGCGTCCGTATCCAAGGAAGGAAAACTGCTGGAGAAAAGGCGCCCAGCCCCTTTCGAATCGCCACGCAATGAATCGCGGGTATTGCCTCGGAGCCGCCCCCCCCCACCCCTACTCACCAACACCCCCTGACGCCTCTTTGTCGCCTCTCTCTCCTCCAGCCGCCTGCTTACCGGCATGCTCAATGAAGGGCCCGGTACTCGTGTCGCCGCATCTCTCCCGTCCCCGGCCTTCTTCCTCCTCCTCTACCTCCCCGTCAAGCCGCAAAGCCGATGGTGACTCCTCCATCTGCGTGCTCGCTGGCTCGGCGGAGGGAATCGGGGTGTAGCTACGTCCCGATCGTGTGGAATGGCGGCTCCGATCGTGCAGTGGAGAGACAATTTTGCGATACAGACGGTCTGGCCTCAAGGCGGCAGTGATGGGGGCAAATTGGTTCGTCCGCAACCCAAAGCCGTTGGTGACGTACTCAATCAGCTCCTCGTGATCCATGAGATAGTCCACCCCGTGCGTTCCCCCTTCCCACGGCGTTCGGCCCCCTGGTGCCACGTAGAATTTTCCTGAGGTCGACGTAAAGTTCTCCTGCGAAGGAAGGACTTGCCATTCGTGCGTCTTCATTAGGACGTCCAACGCGGCATTGAAAGTCTTGCCATCTCGCAACCACGCAACGAGATGGTCTCGCTGAAACCATTCGCCGGGCGCCAAGACACTGAAGTGGCCTTCGAGGCGGCTATTGCTTCGAGCATGGCTGTGGAGGACTTCCTCTCTTGCACCGGACAGGGGACTTTGAGGGGAAGAATATGTTTTACCTCCTCCAGATTCTGTGGGCTGCGATTGGTCGTGTGCATCCTTTTCCCCCGCTACCCCTCTGATATGACCTTTGGTCCTCTCATCCCTGGACGTCCCCGGCTCAGGAGACATTTCCTCCGTCCTTTCCTCCCTGTCCCGTTCCTCGCGACGCCCTTGATCCTCACTGAGGGCAGGGTGAAGATCAGTTTCCATGCAGTCTTCTCTTTGCCCCGACCATGTCTCCCCCTCCACTCCCCCAACTTTTCCCTCCGCCTTCTCCCTCTCCTCGGCGTCCGCCTCCTCCTCCTCCTCCTGCTCCTCCTCATCATCATCTTCCTCATCCTCGTCTTCATCATCATCCTCCTCTTCCTCCTCTTCCCCGTTTTTTCTCGCCCCGCGCGAATCATGGAAAAGTGTCTCTCTTTCGTCAGATCCAAATCAATCTCCTCTACAACGGGCACCGCATGTTCTGTCAGCAAATCCTCTCCCTTGAAGTATTTCCGTACAACTAGTTGTCGCAAGTGCTCAAATGAGATGGCAAAATCAACGCCCGCCACTCCACCGGCGCTTGGCCGCTTCCCTCCAGGAGGAACGTAAATGTACTCTTGAATCAGACTTCGCGCCTCAGGCCACTGTTTCTTCCACCCGTAGTGCCGAAGGAGTTTCTGGAGCAAGACCGATTGATCAAGCAGGTCTGTCGGTTGCAAAACTTTGCCAATTTCGTCGGACAAGCCGTCACCGCCATTGGCTCTTCCGTTTCCCTCCGAGGGCCGCGCCACCACCGCCTTGTTGCTGCTCGGCCGACCCGGACCCCTCTTTCCCTTGTCCCTCCCCGCTCCCATCCCCTGTCCCGCATTGCCATTCCCCATGTCCGGTTCCCCTACGGAAGGGGACGCTCCCACACGGCCCATGGGACCCCAGTTCCGGCTGGAGGAGGCGTTGAAAGAGGGGTTGTCCTGCGTGGGCGGGAGACCCTGTATCTTCTCGAGCACGTAGGCTTGCAAATCGTCCAAGCCTTCAAGGTAATCCTCTCCACGCTGGCCCCGGGCCGACCCTCCCGGCGGGATGAGCTTACGGCCCTCCGTGACAAAGCCGTGGTACGTGACCAGCTTACGGGTCATTTCTTCCAAGGACTCGAAGCCCGTCACTTCTGCCGAGCTCCTCCCCTCTTCCCCCGCCCCTTCCTCCATTCCCTCCTTCTCGGCGGTCATCGCGGCCGCCGCTCCCCCCACCGAAGGGCTGCCACCGCCCGTGCTCTCGCTGTCGTTCAAGATGGAGGCAAAGGGAAGGCAGCCCGCCTCCACGTGCCGCGAGACGTACTCTTTCACGTCGGCCAGAGACCGGAACCAATGCTTCCCTTCCTCCTGATGCGCCTCGCTGTAACGAGGCGTACAGTACCGATAGCCATTGTCCGTCCCGTCCTGCTTACGGAAGCCGCTTTTGGTGCACCACCCGTGCCAGTCCTTCAAGTATCGGTACACCCAGTTCTCGTTCTCGGACATGTCGATATAGTACCGATAGTCCGAAGCGTCCCCCCCCTCCGGGCTCCCTCTTGCTCTGCTTTGCTTTCCCTTGGCCTTCGACAGGCCCTTCTGGCACCCTGGTACTTCTACTTTCAACCTATGTGTGCGCATGCCGCCGCCATCACGGCACCCATCCAAGGCTTTCTCCCTCTTTTTGTGCGCGCGCGTAGTCGGTTTCGCCTTGCCTACCCCCACCTTCCCCTCCTCCTCTCCGTCGCCGTCATTTTCAGCAGTCCCTGTCCGCCCGCCCAGCTTCTGCTTCTTATTGCCGACAGCCTTCCGGGCTCCAGACTCTTTTTTGACCATCGGTCCCTGCGCCACCTCTTCCGCGCCGTCTTTCTCATCTCTCTCCAGCTCGAACACGTTCCGCATTCGGCCGGCCTTTCTTTTCTGGAACCTTGTGTTTCGCGAGGAAGCCGAGGCTGCATTCATCGTTGCGGTCCAGGAGGAAGCAGGAGGCCCAGCCGTCGAAGATAATGTAGACGTGGAAGAAAAGTCGATGTTCTCCTTCGCATCACGACTGTCACAGGACGAGGCCACGCCGGCGCCTGCTATCTTGGACGCGCTGGCTGCGTTCCTCATCTTCCGATTCAAAGCCCGGGCCCCTCTGGGACTCTGATAGTCCGTCCGGTGGTGGCTCGTCTTGTAGCGCGCCTGGATGTAGGGAACGATCTGCTCCTTGTTACGGAACCAGTCCCGGCCCTCCACCATCCAGGACTCAACGTTCTTCCCCGCGTGCTGAGGCAACAGGAGGGCCACGCCACCATTGGCGTCGGAGCGACTTGTCCGGTAGGCATATCCAAAGCCGTGCCTTGGGAGGACCTCCACGAAACGGGGCCAATCGTCGTCGATAGACAGGGCGTGGTCGCCCTGGGAGATGTCGATGATGCCCGCGCCCGGGGTGCCTCGTGAGGGCCTTCCCTCCCCACTCGCCCCTCGACTTACACCCGCTCTGCCAGTCTCGGCCGAGGGCTGAGTGGAGGATGGGCGAGATGCAGAGCGAGGATCAGCCACCGGCAGAGCGGGGCATGAGGAGGCTTCATAGCAACGAGGACCTCTCCCAAGGGTCGCCGCGAGCACGTTCCTGTGGCTCACTTTCTCCTCGAGAGGCGGTCGCGGCGGACCCAGAGACGACGACAGTGCCCGAGAGGCGGGCAAGATAGAGGGGGAGCAAAGAGGGGAGTGTGACGCACTAGCGGATGTGGCCGCGGGGGCGCTGGAGGCTCCGCCGAGGAAGCAAGAGACCAAATGAGACCCACTCTCGAAGGCAGTCTCGTCCCGCACGGCCTCTTCCAGGTCCCGCATCTCGCGGGGCACGATGTAAGGTCGACCATCGATTTGGTACGCCCAGGTGTAGTTGTACCGGGGGCTGGTCATTTTACACCACAAGGCTTCACTCCTCTCCTCGAGCGTATCCTCGGCCCTCAGGGCCGCCACAGGCAGGGGAGGCAAGCCACGCGTGGTCGCGATGCTGTAACAGGCGCGGAGAAACTCACGCTTGCCTTTGAAAACAGACAAAGGCCGCGACTCTCCTGCTGGCGCGTATTCAATCGTCGCCAGGTCGTCACCGCAATCTACTTTCCAGCCTCCAGCTTCCTCTAGGCATCGCCAAGCTTCTGCAAAAATGCTTTCCAGCACCATTTCGCCCGCTTCTTCACTGGAGACACCGGTGAGAACGCGATTGCCTGCCTCTGTTTCCAGGAGAGCCTCGAACAAGCTTCGGTGCGAGAAGAAGTCCTTGCCTTCCACGCCTGCATCGGGAAAGCGGACCCGGGGGGGACGAAGAAAACCGCGACGCGTCGAGGGAAGCTTCCGATGAGCGGGCCTTGCCTGCGATTTGCTGGACGAATCTCCCATCCTTTGGCTCTGAGGTAACATTTGAAGGCTTCAGCTGCCGCAGTTTTTATGATTTTGTCAGCCAAAGCGGGGTCCAGATGCCGAGCCTCTGCCGTAAAGTATGCGACGACCTCTGACACCGTGGCGAAGCATATTGGAAAATTTTCGAACCCGAGTCCACCTGATAATGCAAATCAAAGGATGTCAAAGTGTGAGTGCGCATGTATATCGCATATCACATGGAGAAGATCAGGAACAAGCACTAGGGCCGGAAAGCAAGACGCGGTCGCGAACTTACCATCCTGAGGCGGTTCGACGGAGACAGTGCGACCTTTCTTGACTGTGATTTTCCAGCCCAGACTCATTAAGAGTTCTTCCGTAACCTCTATCCTGCTCATAGCGCTCGTAGTCTCTGTGCAGGGAATCAAAAGGGGATTTCGGCGCATTAATATACCAAAGAATGCCCCTCCTTGCCTCCTTCGCTCTTTTCGCGGTCTCCCTTCGCCAAAGAAGAATCAAGCTGATGTGTAGGCGGGAAAAATAAAAGGTTTCTGGGCGGGAAAAATAATGTTTCTCGAGTCCGCAGCCAGCGTCGACCCTTTTGAAATTGACGACCCGAGTCGACAAGCCTGAACAAGCATGAAGAGGCGCACAAAGGTACGCACGGCAGATTGAGAGACCCCGCACTCTCATCAGTGAGCGGGGACCAAGGGCAAACACGGCGTCGCCTACCCGACCGTAGCAATTCATGCCAGGAGTTTAATGACAAGACAACTGTTGATCTTAAGTTAAAATCCGCACATTTAAACTCAGTTGATTGATTTGATTATTTGGTTGTACTCCTGTAACTTTATGGCACAACAGCACCAGCACGCCTGTATATACTCTCAACTCGTACGTACGTCGCACACTTCACGCCGTTACGCTCCACCGACTCCCAAAAGCCCAACGGCCTCTTCAACTCTTATTCGCAACCCTTCTTCGTCTATATTCAGCGTTGCTACATATGCGTCGATGTGATGACCCTCCACTATGTTCTGTACCTTGTCTGCATCATCCGGCAAGCGCGTCAACATAAGTAAGAAGCCCCCTCCCCCCGCTCCACATGTCACCATTCCGAGTGCCCTTGTCTCTAAGATCTTTATGAGACGCCGCACGTGCTCAGGTTCGCTTGACGGAGCCATTGTCAGCTTCTGCTTCCGGTAATTGTTCAGGCATTTTCCTAAAGCTTTCACGTCGCCCTCTTGTAAGGCGTCGGCCGCGGAACGTGCGCCGTGGACAAGGCCCTGGAGGGTGACGAGTACTTCAGGGCTTTGCGCATAGTACCGTCGCACGACAGACCGTACAATATTTGAAGCCAAGCGTGCCCGACCGGTGTAGATTAGCAGAAGATGCCTCTCCCAGCGCGCGCGTACGGCGGGACAGAGGGGCAGTGTCTCATACTTCACACGCAGTGGAAGGCCAGGTGCCGAGTACGCCCGCTTCGCGCCCCCGACCAGTCCTCCGACTTGATCCTGCCACCCGCCGCCAACGTCCATGAGTTGTTCAACCTCCAATACAGCGTGGTTGAGGGCGCACACGCTGTACGCCCGTCCGCACGCCCGACCCAGAGCCGCGAGCACGGTGCCTACCAGGATGCTGCTGGTTCCCAGACCGGAGCCTGTTGGCAGCATGGACCATGTCTCGACGCGGAGGCCACCGCCGACGTGCTGAGCAAGCAAGGTCGAAAGCCGCTCCTTTCCTCGCGAAGCACCATCGGCCTCTGCCTGGTCATGGCATGACTGATCGATCTGCGTGAATGATCTCTCGCCCTCGTTCGGCAGAACGCCAAAGTACACGAGGCACCACCGAACCAAAGCCGTGGGGCACGCTGCAAACTTTTTGTCCATTTTTGCAGCTTGTCGTCCTTCCTGCACTTTGCCGTCTTCGTCCTTGCCCTCCCCCAAGTCTGCCATAGTCCTGCACACGCGCTCAGTCACGTCCCCGTCGGCCTGCCGAGCCTGCAGCACCAGCACATGGTCCTTCAAGATCGTCACGCGGGCTCCTATAGGCCGCTGTCCCTTCAATTGAACGGCGAGATTGGTAACCTCCCCTCCCAGCTCGAAGGAGATGGGCGGGGTGTCTGACCACCCGCCGCTCAGATCGATCCGGGCAGGAGCCTCGGCTACGACGCTTCTTCCCACCTGCATCTTGGAAGCAGAGCCGCAAGAGACAGCCCGATGCACGGATGCAACTTGCCGCTTGATTAGCGCGAAGGTGGTCTTATCGTAATGAGCGGCCACCTCCCGCACGCGCCATTTCTCGCCCGCCATCCAAGCAACCCGCATTGCCCTCATTTCCTTGAAAGCCTCCCGCCGGCTTTCAACCGCCCCTGTTCCCCCGACCGTCAACTTCAGTACTGCTTGTGTCCACTGGGCATTGTAGACCGTCTGCTCTGTGCCATTTATCTCCTTGTCTTCCTCCTCCACCGTGTCTATCTGTTGGGCGAGTGCCTCCAAGACGCGCGCTAGCAAAGCGCATGTCGATGCCAAGACCGAGAGAGGATCCTCATCCCCAGCGCACAACCCTGACCTAGACAATCGCCCGGCGTCAACTGCACTGTCTTTTTTGGCCTTCCTGACATCACTCCCCTTCGCGCCTTCCGCTCGATTCAAAACGTGATCTTCAGCCCACTCTTCCAAAGCAACCACCAACCATAGCTTCTCCTCGTACGAAGGCAAGCCGTCCCGCCATATTGCGTCCAAAGGCTTTGTATGTAAATCCTCGAGGCTCGGGCCTGTCCTCAACGCCTCCTTCAGCGATTCCAAAACCAGGTTGCGGCGCCCATCGCCTTCCAGTCGTCCTGGCGCTTTCAAAACGTGGCGCCCGTCTGCTGTCTCTATGTTCCTGCGTGCGGACTTGGCGAGACTTGCCCCTTTCAACTCTCCCTCCCCATGTGACGTCTCTCTGGTGGTCCTAGTCAGGATCCGCGCCTCCAACGCCCGTCGCCATCGAAACTCCGCCCTCGGCTCGGCCTGAGCCAGGATATCACTCAGGGACAACCGGCGCGCTTGTCGCCACGCAACCACGGCCTCCCGGGATGGAATTTTTCCCTGACTGGCGTACGCTTGTTGCCAGCACCATGCCCCTCGACGACCCGTGCTTGCTGGCGCCCCAGCTTCCCCTACTGCCGGAAAGAGACAGGCATGCCATAAGGTGCGCGGCCTCGGCTGAAAATCTGAGTCTTTGACAGCGGAAATGCCTTTTGTGGTGGAAACGTTGCTGTCGACAGGCAGGCGGGAGTGTGGCCAGATGACTCCGGCGTCGACTTGGAGCATGTCGAGAACGACCCCCCACGGCCGGTTCCAAACACCCGCCTGAGGCTCCTTTCCATAAGTGGCCTTGACGTTGTCGTGGAGCGAAAGGACCGAGACGACATAGGGGAAGGCGAGGGGCCGCCCCGGTTGGCCTGTGCCCTCCGCGGCACCCAGCCGCACTTCTTGCACAACCACACCAGGGCCAATGCAGATCTTTGCCTGCTGGGCGGGGGCGTGGCATAGGCCACTAACCAGGGTCCCGGCGCCCACCTCCAAACGGCTCTCGCCCTCCACCACGGAATGCTCGACGATCGAGCCGTCACCCAGACAGAGCCCGCCTGAAGGAGTCAGGATGGAATTCAGCACCACGGCACCCTCCTTCTTTTTGTATGCTTCTTCTCCACTTTGTGCGCCCGCACTGTCTATTTCCTCCCCCTCGACCACGCAACACACTCGGCGGGCGAGGCGAAAGGCGGAAGAGAAGGGCGTCATCTTCAAGGTCATCATCGCCTGGAGCTCTTGAGTGGTGCCCAGATGGCCAAAGAGGGCTCCCCGGGGAGCTAAGGCCGAAAAAGGCCACCGCCCCAGGCAATCCCACAGCACCCCCCTTGCCTCCAGCAGGGCGGACACCGCCCCTGGGCCCTGGCCGGCCCTTTCTACCGCCTCCTTCTCGCTGCTCGCGCCGTCCATGCCCACGTAACTGGCCCGGTCTTGCCCCAACCCGTCGCTCAAAGCGAGGAGCATGTCTGTGTAGAGTTCCAAACGCAAAGCCGCCTCGACGCGTCCTTCCGCAGTCCCTCCCTCCGTCTCTCCCCGGCTGCAGCAGCGGCGAAAGACGGTATGCGCTTTCGGCAGCGACATGAGTTCTCTGGTGATTTGGGGACAGAAAAAGAGGACGCCTGTGTCTATCAGAACATTGCCCTCCGTGGATACGGCTCCTTTTGCGGTCAGATCGACCAGGCTAGCTTTCTGGAGGTACTGCATCACGCGTTGGGTCATGACCTTCCTGTCTTCGCTTCTTTCCTCCACGTCACGACCACGCCGTGCGCAAGCTATCGCGGAGGTAGCTGTGATATACACGCCATGATTAGGACCGAGAGCCGCAGGCACACTTGCAGCCAGCCCCACCACTCCCCTTTGTGAAGCCCAGTCCACTGGCCACGGGGGCAAGACAAGGAGGACGTCGGAGGACGCCACCACCAGTGCCCCAGAAGGCACGCCACCGGCAAAAAGCTGCGTGAACTGCTCTAACAGGAGGTCGATGGGCGTGTTGCTCCCGCCGTCCTCTTTTCGGTGGGAATTGAGACACGACCACGCCTTTCCGCACACTGAGTTGGTAGGTGAACGTTGAGAATCGCCCCCCGAATGTACCATTAATATTGCTGGCCATTGTCCGGCGCTGCTCACAAGGTGGTGCATTTGTAGGTAGCTATGTACATGAACGAGCGCATTCAAAGTCCCTCCGCCACTTCCCACACGTTTGCCGAGCGGGTCCGCGACAGCAAGCAGAATAAGTTCTTGCTCGTTTTCCTCTTTACTACTTTCGTCATTGTTCAGTCCCGGACAGACGGCAAAATAGCGCTCGGACAATCGAGCCTGTAGTTCCTCTTGATATGCTTCCGCTGAGCGCTCCGTTGGAGCTGTTACCACCACAACGGGAAAGGGGAATGGTATTCTTGGCATCGGCAGTTACACTGTGGGAGTGTACTTGGAAATTGCTTTTCGAATAGCGTGATGAGTCACCAAAAAAAGAATCCAGCTTCCACGGGAGGGGACGAACGCAGTCAAAACCTGTCGTAGGTGCGCGGATAAGAAGGAAATGTCTCGGCAGGGTTGTTTTTGCCATGCTGCGCCCTGGGCCGGACCGTAGGCTGGGCGCTCGCCCGTCATCGCCGTAAGAAGTGCAAGCCAACATCACGTTCAGGTGGTGGCAAGCCCCCGCCTGGACTCGGGAGGCCAATCCCTTTGCCTTCGGACAGGGGCGACTTTGATTATCTGGCGTGTCACAGCGTCAGAGAATGCGCACATGCATCGCGCGGTGTCAGTGTGTATGAGTGTGACTGTCGCTCTTGAGCCATGCATGAAGAGTCCCCCACGACCTGCGTACGCCCCATCCTGGTTACCTATCCACCATGGACATATCAGACACAGGGCCCGGATTGCGCTGCCATGGATTTCACGCAGGGGATAAGAAGCTACCTGACGCGTCAGATTCAGGAATCGTTGGACCATCTCATCGAGGGTGGGATCGTGTCTGGCATTACCGGGGATGTTGTTCTGGACAACTTGTCCCTCCGCAAAAATTTGCTTCGCAATTTGCTCAACCTGCCCTTGGAGTACGACATAGCCCGAGGCACGGCAAAAGAACTCCGCCTTTCTATTCCGTGGGCGCGCATTATTGCCCAGTCCCAGCCTGTGGTGCAGGTGACCTTAAAAACGGTGGAGATTGTGGTCAAGCGTGCCGGCACCGGCTCTGAGGATGCAGACAGTCCCGCGTCCCCTGACGTGCCTCCTGACAGCTCTGACCTCGAGCTTCATCCTCCCACACGCGCCTCGAGAAGGCAAAGAGGCAGCATCGTCACTCCAGAAGAGCAAGAAAGCATGAAAGTCGTGGGCTCTGAGAAGCCTACGGGCTGGCTGCACGCCTTGGGGAAGAAGATGCTGATGAATGTCGCGCTTCGGGTGGAGAACCTCGCCGTTCGCTACGAGGAGCACGATGGAAGCATCGCGGCAGCTGCCTACATATGTAACGTAACCATGCACTCGGCGGACCCGGGTCGGGCGTGGGAGCCGGCCTTCAACGACTGCGACCCTCCCAGCTCTCCCTGGCTGTTCAAAATGCTCCAGATCCAGGACCTAACGATTTGCCTGGACGGACACAGCCCGGAAGACATCAGCATGAGCGGAAGCAGTCGTGGTAGACGACGGCACGAGGCCCCCTTGGTGGACCGCACGACCCTCCGGTTCCGCTTGGCCTTCGACGTCCGCGACGCTTTCAATTTCTGGGGATGGGAGGCGCCGCCTTCGCAAGTCTCCTCCTTATCTCCGCCATCGCCACCGCATGAACCGGCGTCGAGCAAACCGCCCTTTTTTCAGGAGGACCACTTCTCGCCCATGTCGATGGATGGACTCTTCCTGGACAGTCCCTACGTCGTCTCCTCTCCTCCCACCGGGACAGCCGCCAACCGGCAGATGGAGCTGGTGGCGGCTGACTTCTATGAAGGACACCTGCCTCCCACATTTGGCGCCCTATGCCCTGTACTAGCCAGGGTGGAGAGAGGAGAGGAGGACTGCAGGAAAGCTGAGCTGCCCCGCCCCACGGCGACGCCATGGCAAGCAAAATTAAGTAGATTGTTTTTGGAGAAGAAGGAAACGGAAAGAGAGGCACGGAGCGCCAAAGG